AAAAAAAAAAAAAAAAAAAAAAAAAAAAAAAAAAAAAAAAAAAAAATCCCTGCTCTATCTTAGTCACTACTTAAGCTTATTATTCATTAAAACAATAAATGAAAAGTATAGATGCAAATAAAGCCAAGGCTTCTCCTTCAGTCAACACTATGAATTGTATTTTTCTGTTTATTCAGAGGAGAGTAGCTAGGCATGAAGCTAGAACAAATATTTGAAGTGTGGTATTGACAATGTATTTCACCTTTGATTTCCCCTGGATTATAAGAGACTCCATGAGCACTGTCTAAGTTCCAGTTGCCAGATTCAACCCWTGTTTTGAGAGAGAGTGCCTGAAGCTGGGCTCTGAATACTCTTTTGATGGATACAACCCAATCCTGTGAAGCACTGAGCAGATGGACAATGAACCTACTGAAGGACAGGATTTTCAAAAGTGCACAGGAGATTTGGGCAAATTGAGGTCACTGATGAAAATGCCTTCTCTGGACAACCTGGTCCAATTTCAAGAGAGAAAATGTCAGCTCTGCTCATTCTATATCTGGCTCCGTTGTACTTTTACTTCTAACCAAATGATGTCTTTGAAAAAAAGTAACTGTATAGATATATGCACATAAGTATCATATGTATGGAGGCATAATGTATAACAAAAGGAAGATACTGGGTTGTGTACTTTTGTTAAATAGTGTACATATGTGAAATTGCAATATATTGTATGTAAATTACYATTTATTATGCCCAGAAAACTTACTACATTGAATGAGAAAAAGGYTCTTATTGTTAGGCAAGGGCCAAGAAATGAAGTATTGGCAAAAAAATATGGGTTCTCTCTTTTTATTTTTTTCTGAAAAAAGAGGTGTTGAGAAAGATGCAAGAAATGCTGATGCTAAATTTGTGCAATGGGTACAATCCACTGTGCTGATTGCTGTAATCAAACCTGGCAATAAAATAACAGATGGAAAGGGTGGAAAAGAGTCGATTTCATGGTGTGAACTTCAAAACGTTATTTTAATTCTGTTTGGAAATCTGTTACCTATGAGCTGATACTGAGGGGCAAATTATTTTAATGAACTCCTCATTTGTAATTGATTTCAAGTAAAAACATCTCAAAAGGGAGAAGAAATGTAGTGAAAGTACTTTGAAGTATGCAAAGCTGTTTGGGAAAAGGGAGCCGTTAATTACAGTTATAAACCATGGAGACCTTTTGTGAAAACTGCAACCCACAACTGAAGAAAGTTTAATAATTGCTTTAGAATTAAYGGCACATTTTCAAAAGATCCAGTGACAGGTGTATATCTCAATCTCTGTTTGAGAACTRCAAGTGAGAACTTGTTATTTAATTCCTGTTTTGTGCCTTGGAAAACATTGTCTCCATACTTCCCAATAGAAGATAAAATTGCTCTGAGGTCCCAGCTGCCAGACCTCAGCTATTATCCCTAATGCAGATTATGGAATTAAAATAAATGTGCATGGGTGAGGCTGATACCCAAACCATTGAATAATGGTTATTGTCTGTCAAATTTCCACAATGGAGAGATTACAGCAAGGTACAGCCTAACTGAGATATTGCCCTGCTAAAATTTTAAAAGCAGGAAAATTTATTTAAAAACCAGCAAGAATTTAGCACTATTAAAATTAAAATGTAATCCAGTCTCACATTAAGCTGATTAATTACTTTGCAAAAATGACATTTGAAATAATRTATCAGGGTCATTACTTTCCTAGTCAGAGGAATTATCATTTGAGATGAAGAGAAAAGGGTGGCAAGGTAAACCATGCACAAGCAGGGGAAAGATGCTGCTTTTGGCATCCAGATCTTGTGGAAGGATGGGAGCCACTTCCAGGCTGAGCAGGGCCTGCTGTGGAGGCAAGGCTCAGAGAATCCAACTTGTTGCCTTTTTTTTTTTTTTAAGATTTTTAAGATTTCCTCCCTTTGAGAAAATTRTGAATATTCCTTTTGGCCAGTTGTCCAAATGAGACTTCTTCCACAAGTGTTTTAGCAGTCTCTGAGTGTGGATATGYGCACTTGCAACCATAGAAATTAGCTTAGGAGAAATGCCTGGCAACTCAACCCATGCAAAATGTGTATAAACGATGTGGAAAAAAAAAAGGAAAGATTTTACTGCTCTACTTGTCACGCAGATTTATAGAAGAAAATTGTGTGTTTAGCTTAGAGGGAATTCAGAGAGGGAAATGAAAGGACAAGTTAATTGTAACGACAGTTTGAATTACTTGAACAAATATATTTTGGGAAACGGGACAGAACATTAGAGCTGTAAAACTCTCTAGCCTCCTGGCTCTTTCCATTTTATCTGGATTTTTATTAGGGTCCAAAATCATTTCAACCATGAAAATTTAAACCTTTCTTATTAAGGTGCATAATGACCACATTTTTATAGGTACAGACAGCAGGAGACCTTCAGTGCTCTGCACAGATTGTAATTGCAGCAGCCTCTAAGTAAAAATACTGCTCCATTTTGCATCTAGAGTTTCAGGAGTCCTTTCATTCCACAAAACAGGGAGGCAGGGAGACAAGACATTCTCCAAGGAGCTTGACAGGAGAAAGRTCTTGTCATTTGCCCCACACAGAGGCCTTGATATCTAACACATATTGYGGGGTGCTCAGCTGTGGTGCTGGGGTGGACTTTGTAAGACTCTCTGAGGAGGAAAGGAAACTCCTGCTTGGCCAGACCTGGAGACACCACCTAGGCGGTCATCACACCAACCACAGCCCCCTTCCATGATAATGCCATGGATGCAAACTGCCACCCTGGRGAAGGTGGCAAAGGACAATTCCTCAGGGCTTTTCCCTATTTTGTGCCTCTGTCTTTCC